CTGATATTTCACAAGTCAATTTAAGTTGTTTTCTCTGTTGTCGTCTATTATTATTGACTCATTCTTTTTCCTCTATTGTCTAATTTTTGTGGCTCAGTTGTTTCTCTCTTTGTTGATTTTTTTAAAGTTAAGTTTTTGATAAAAATTAGGGAGAGAAATTCACTTCGCTTTTTTGAGAACAAAACTTAAATATGAAAAATATCAGCCACAAAATGTCACATATACCCGCAAAACATGCATATTTATTGATACTGTATAAAAAATGATAAAATGCCACGATCTGAATGAACAGCTTTTTAAAGAAAGGGGCAATAGAGTTTTATGGACATGTAAAACCGTCGTGTTTTGTTTGATTTTGTTTACTTCGAGATTTTGTTAAGGTTGAGTTCATTAGTCTGGTGCATTCTAAAAGCTATTTAGAATGTTTCCTATTGCAACATGTGTTGATAATAGATAAACACATGCTACACTATCCCCGGCCTTAATATCTACAACCATAACTTCAAATTTCAGATGACTCTTCTCTCATACAGTGACTTTTTAAGGACAGATGATACAAACAAAAAAATTAGAAATTTATGTAAATTGTGAAATATTTGTGGATATAAATAAATTTCTCAAATATTAAGAAATTGTAAACTGTCTATCGTGTTCAAAATTCTACCTTTCTGCAACCATCCTTATAATTTATACAATTTTTATAACGAAAATTTAAATTAAATTATTGTCAAACTCAGCACGAAAATTAAAAATATATGCGGTTAAAGTTATTGGTTTTACTCCATCGAATAAGACTTAATAAATTATTTTCAAGATATTTTTTGAAGATTTGATTCAGGGGCAGAGATTTTCTTAGATTCTCTTGATTGTTAATAGATTTAATTCTGTTGTTTGTAAGCTATAACAGAGTAAACAGCAAGTAATGTAAGAATTATGTATCGAAAATCGATTCTATTTGCAGTTTGGAAATTTTAAAAGTACATACAATGTAAACATGGTCACGTGACACACGTCTTACGTAATGTCGCTCCAGTAGTTTTAAATGCCTTCCATAAAATAAAAACATGCATGTTACTTTCATCTGTATACTTTGTTAAATTTATGAAAATTCAATTTTTAGCTTCAGTGATACTGAAAATGTTAATGCTTTTAAATTCCACTGATTATCTAACAAGGTAGCATGAAGCATGACTAAAAGCCCTGCACACGTACCAATCTCCCATGCAGAGTTGTCGTTCGTTCATCTCTCAAACACGTGAATGTATGAACCGACGGTAGAGAGTGCACACGTACATTAACAGTTTTAGTCTTAAGTTATATGCTTTAAAAAATTGTGCATTTTACATTCTGTATCCTGGAGTTAACGTACTTAAAACGCACACAGAATCGCATAGATACATCGTAGAAGTGTATAAGATTGCTGAACAGAAAATAATAACTTTTGGTAAGTAATTCTCTATTTACACAGCACAGTAATCTAGCTATAGTCGATATTTTACTTCTACTCAATCTTTACAAAAAAATGAAAGCCTCCCTTTAAAAAAGTTGAATCTTTTTGGGTTCGCTTGATAGGAAAAGGTACAATTACTAATTTTTGTAGCCATTGCATCTTTTAAACAGAAATTATTTCTTAGATCCATTCCTATCTAAAGAAATTTGTGCAAAATTTCCCATCTTAAAATAAAAATCGTGTGTATTTTCCATCTCAATATGGCTATAAAGTATTGAAAATCGAAAACTATCCTATACTCTCCCAGAGAAACATTTTTTTTCAATACAGAGGCACGATCTTTACAAATTGTTATTATTATGTCACCCAGCAGCAAAACTTTAGAGAGAGGGAGAGAGAGGAGGAGAAAAACAAATAAACAGACGTTCTTGATGGAAAAGGGGTCTGGTTAAAGGCAAATAAATGTAATGGTTTACAATAGGATATTTCTGAGAATTTTTTCTTTGATACTAAATTTCCAGAAATTCAATGAAGATAATTTTAAGCTGGAGAAGTCCGTTTTCACGGCGGGAAGTTAGGGTCAGTGAAGTACAGGGACACACATACACACCTGACTCTAGGACTATATTTCCTTTTTGTTAATTCTTGCTGGCCCCAAGACCATAAATTGAGAACAGAGTTAAGTCAACATTTAGATTTTCAAATTCTCGATTTTTTTTTTCAAAGAAGCATGTTTAAAAATGTACAAGTTTGTAGCAAGTTTGTAAAGTATTTTAACAAAAATTTGGTCTCATTTTCTTGTTTATTTCAAAAGTTACACAGATTTGAAATTTTGATTTAAGGTTGTAAGCAGGTTATGGTCTTGGGGCCTGATGTAGTTGATCGATTAAAATGACTACAATTTTAAAAATAGTTTGTCCCATTTCCCCCAATTTTTCTGGTCATTCACTATCTATTGTGCATGACAGGTGCGCGCTCGGTAATGGTTGTGACACTAACACTCCTTATACCGAGGAAAAACGTATTGTAACCGTTAATCAGGCCGGAAAAATGGTTCACCAGAAAAATACCACGTAAAAAGTACATTTACTAATTGTCTGCATAACGAGGCATTGCACGCATTTTTTTAAATTTTTATTTACGTGAGGTTCTTTCTTTTTGTTGTTGCATCAATTGTAGGTTTCCAACTTTTGTTTCACTGATAGTCAAAAATCATCGGTAGAGTACTAAAAACATGGAGGTTTTCCTGTCTTTCCAAATAGCCTTGTCGGCCAATTAAAATTAAAAACAAAGTAATAGTATTTCATTAGACAGGTACATATAAGCTGAGATTTATGATCCAGATTACTTAAGATAAAGATATATTTTTGTGATTGGAAAATTTCCCTTTAGAACTAGGACAAATTTTTAAAAAATGCATTTTTTCTCAGATGTTTCTTTAGGGAAGGTTTCTCTTGTATGCCTAAATTGCGCGAAGGAAATAGATTTCTATCTTTTCTCATCCTTCCTTCAGTTGTTTATTGACTATCAGTCTTAAAGCGAACTGAAAAAAAGATTTATAATATCAGTACTTTTAGTATTTACATGTGTAATCTGCTAGATTTTAAATCGTGTCCTGCTCCGCTTCAATGTTTTTTTCCTGTCTTTATTAATACCCTGGCTAGTCTAGACCTGCCATAAGATACCAGACCACGACATTTCACGCATCGCTGAAAATGAGGGTCAAACTAACCCCCGTAGTCAACGAATATTTTATGACGAATTCAGAAAATTGCCTGTAACCTCAGATCAAATAGTTATACCAACACAGATATGAAAATAGTGTTCCATATTCTAACTTTAAGGTAACAGTTATTTAAGTGAGGTGTGATAAATAATTGTCCCCCGCTTGAAAAGTGGATATTAATGCCGATTTGTATGTGAAACAAAATGATTAAACGCTTTGTTTCCACACGAACACATAAAGAGCTTTTGAAAAAATGAAATTTAGCAAAATTTATGGACTAAAAAAGACCCCTATTGATTTTGAGGTCAAAAGGTAACAGGTCAAGGTCATAAATAAGCAAATTCTGCTGTGAAAACACTTTCGTTTCCAAGAATCTCGAGAACCGTCTTTGCAATGAAATTTTATATAACAATGTGGATAAAGGACCCCTATTGATTTTGAGGTCAAAAGGTCAAAGTTCAAGGTCGTAAATTTATACATTCTGTCTGTGTGTAACATTATCATTTCCGGGCGATATTTGAAGAAGATTTTGAGCTTATGCAACGTAATTTTATACCAAAACTCCCTAGGACGTCCCTCGCCCCTCTCAAAGTGCCCCGCCCCGTTTGTTTTATTATTTATAAAAGGTTATTTTTAGCGCAGGGGCATAGGAGAGTTAGTATAAAACAGATTTTTGCGGACTTTATGTTCTTATTACATTTAAACTGTTTAATAAAGGCTTATAATCAAACACCATGGATTGTGTAAAATTTTGAGAATACCGAACATGAAATCATGAATATATAAGTGTGACTTGTATTCAAATATACTTCACACCGAGTAAAGCGATTCCGTGGCCGTGTTTGTCTCTATCAAATCTAAAAGTAGCGACGGCGTCTTTTTTTTTTTTGGATATTTTTTTTTTTTTACTTAAATGATAGTATTCAGCATGTGAAATGAAAAATTTCCTTGCAGGATAAAAATAATTTAATGTGATAACATTCCATATAAAAAAATTTTATACACATAATAAAGAATAAGCAATCAAATCTTTATATGCATATTGACAAAATATATTATTTCCCAGTATACATGTATACATTTAATAATTGTACAAATTATAGGGATAGTACTTTAATTGAGGTGTGATAAATAATTTTTTTTTCGTTTTGATTTTAATAGTCCGTTTTCTTATTATTCAATTTTTTTCAAGTTTTTTGAGAGTTAGAATAATTTATTTTTGCTTTACATTCTGACAGGAGAATCGAGGAATGAAACCTATTTTGGTCTCATAACGATTTAATCATATTTAGGGGACCTGATTTTTTTTTTTTTTTTTTTTTTAATTTCCCTCAAGGGGTTTGAGAAACGATTATCCGAAATCACAGTATTTTTTAGAACACTCTTTAAGAGAGGATTCAATAGAAATAAATTACTTATATAATATAAGCCTTTCCTCAGATAAAATTAACTTTAATGGACAAGTTTAAATGTCAGTAACGAATAAATTTGAAGGGAACTGAAAAAACCCTTGTAGATCTAATTTAGCATAACAGTTTAATTACAGTTTAAACACATTTCTTGGCCCCCTTTTCAGCTTTTTTATCATCTCACGTGCACCCTATATTTTATTATAAATTTATATCTTGTTGATTTTTTTTTGACAATGAATCAAATATGTATTTATTAAATCAAATACAGAAATCCTTAAGTTCTTTACTCTTGTTTAAAAGAAATTGCATCGGAATTTTAGAGATGGAACTAGACATGAAAATATTGTCCTGAGAATTAATTTACAATATACCCACAATGTACTGAAGCAACATTTGTATTCTTTTATTTCAGACGTGGTAGTGATTCCTACACAGAAACAAGACCCTGGATCATTCCCTCAAGTAAGTCAGATATTGATCAAAATCTTTACTGTTTATGTGATTATTTCCCTTAAGAAGATGTCTGCCCAAATTTCATGACAAACCTGAAACCACGCTTTAAAGTGTCCTTTACAAGTATATAGTCAATTTATAAAAGAAACGTCTTCATTGAAGACTTGTTAGTTTTCTGAGTCTTGCTACTTGATTAAACACCAAGCCTTAGATCTGGAAATCAATCCTTTAAATGATCCAGTGTTACTGTGATATGTAGTTAACTACAAAATCTGTATTGTTAGTTCTTTTATCGACAAACAAAGGTCTATATAGATATGATACGACATACTTAAGGTCGATTATTTAGACAATATTTTGTTTCGAAAATTGTAAAATAGGTATTAAATCTATATCAAAACTTGTAAAATGAATTAGTAAACTCACAATTAGTTTAATTTTCTTTTTTAAATTTCTCAAATTTTTTTTATCGTATGATTAAAAACTGTAAAGAGTTAAAAAGGGAAACATTAAAAAGTGGGAATTTTGAGCTACAAGGTGATGGGCAAACATGGCATGCGTGCGCCTGTAGATCAAATGGATATAAAAGTCGTATTCAGTTTCTGGATATTGTATATTGTGCTAAAATCTTAATTTTGAAAGGTATGAAATAATAGTTAACAAATTAAAACTTTTCTGTAGAATTTTTTTCCGCGAATATCATATTATTGTACTATTGTTTAAAAAAGTATTCTAAAGGAATCGAAGAAGGTACCATGCTAAATTCTAAAATTAATATATTTGAATTGTAAAAATAAATGAAAACAGTTAAATTGATAACTACAAAGAAATGCAAATTAAAATAGAATAATTTAAGTTTTCCTGTAAAATCAATTCTTCAAAGTATCGTATAAAATTGTACAGGTATTTCCAGTGGTGTGTGCTCTCTTTGGTGTGTGTATGCTTTTTCACAGACAAGTTATTTAAAAACTTTGTGAGGTAATATGCATATTTTTGAATATTTTACATAATGTTTGCGTATAAGGATGTTTCCTTTTTTGACATATTTCATTTTTATCAAATACAATTTGCTACATAGATTTTATTTGATAAAGAAATAAGTCAGAAAGGATAGATGTATTCTACTGATCAGCGGTATTAGTCATTTTCACGGAACTCAACAAAATAAGCGTATTTTTTCCCACTTACCCTCTAATTATCTGTTTGCATTTGATTCTTTGAAGATTGGATAGTTTTCATGAAACATATCAAGAAAGGTTTAATTTTACACCATAATTGAGATACTTTTGACAATAAAATATAACAAGAAAGGTTTAATTTTACTAACCTTAGATTTAAAGCCGTTGAACAAAAATGCCAAAAAATGAAAAGTTTTATGCAAGTTAACTCAACAGAGTAAGTCCGTAATAATAAATAAAATATCAAAAGGAAAAAAAAATACTGCACACTAATTTTGTTCGCTTTGTTTTTTTTTTTCACATCAGGTAAGTTTCACGAACAGTATTTTTCAAAGTAAAGACGTTAATTGAACACTAATATGATATATAAAATGTTTGTGTTTTTCCAAACACAGATGTTTTATGCAAGTTAACTCTAACCTGCTGGCAATTTGATAAGACGTTTCGTAATGATAAATAAAGAAATGTTCATTGTTGAAAAACAAAAAAAAAAAAAAAGGGATTTTTTCTTCACTTTCTATTTTGTCGCACTAAATAGGTTAAAATATTGCATCGTGAAATAAAATATATATTGCATGGGTTATGAGTTATTGCATTAACAATATAATATATATCATAATATAAAAGCAATTTTCTTGTAATCACATATAGGTACTTTCACCAAAAAATAAAAAATGTTAACGAAATTTTCGTTCACAAACAGTTCAAAATTTTGTTACTTACAGCAAATTCCAAAGTGAAGACGTTAATGCTTGTGCATCTTTTTCACACAGCAGTAAAACTACTTTTATTGACCGAAAACCGGAAAGCAAACGACACTCCTGCTGGGACAAAATTACAAATAAATCTAATATGAGAAATGGATAAAATATTAAATTTAAAAATGTTTGTGTTTAATCATGCATATCAAACACAGAATATGAAAGTTTTACACATTACATCTGTCTGACTTATGTAATGTTGCATTCCTTGCAGCATAACATCCTTCATGCACTCACGTAAACAAACAGGTAAAACTATTTATATCCTATATCCTTTAACTTTACAATATAACTACGTCCGTACTGAAGGAGCTGTTGTTATGTTTTATTTCAGATGTGTGATTCTTATGCTGAAACAGGACCACTGGATCATTAAAAGTCCTTCAATCGAGTAAGTTATTATATATAATGATCAGTATTTCTTTGGGTTATTGATCTTTTCTCCAACGGGACACATTCTAAATACGACTTATGTTAAATATTGCACTACTAAATAACAACAAACATGTAAATACAGGCAATCTTGTTTTCTACGTAAGTTACGACCACGGCTCTATGCTTTGATGCTTTGGTTGACACGATTCAATCCAAAAAAAAAAATTACGGATTTACACAAATTTTCTTGGCCGATTTTCCTCAACCAACAAAAACTTGAAAAGGAATCAAATTCTGAATGACCTTCATTTTACGACACATTTTTAAATCACGGTTCAGTTTACATGGACTTAATAAACGAGTCGGTGACTTACATCAGGTGTAGACGGAAAATATTGATTGTGTTCATCTCCAACAACACCCACCTCATTTCACCTGACACCTGAGAGAGAGAGAGAGAGAGAGAGAGAGATTATACGAGTTTAAAAATAAGCATGTTTTCTTTTTCAGATGTCAAGAGAATTTATTTTTCTAGGGTGATGATAGAAGTTTATTACGTGTGTAATTGCGATGCGGTTTTGGCTGACTTCTTGTGTCCGAAACCTCTATAAGTGGGCAAGGCACAATGGAGTCTGGATACTGTTTTTGTCGATATTCTTCCTGGCAGCGTTTGCAACTTTCGGGACTACTATTGTTCAACAGCACAGCTATTATCGCAGACCTATCGGAGGAATTCTGCCGCAACTATTTCCAGATGAAGAGGTGATACAGTTCCGGTTTTACTCTTACGACAAAGAATATAGATACCCCCCAGTGAAGGTGGATGTCCGTGAAAAAATTAGAAATGGAATCGTTGATTTGCCAGTAGTAAATAAGCATCCCTTTAAATTCATTCTCAACCCAGATCATATATGTAAGGACAGCAAGCAAAACAACCTTATAATCATTGTAAAATCCGCTGTCGGCCATTTTGCTTTAAGAAAGGTCCTACGAAACACGTGGATCCTGAAGGCAAAGGAAAAACACATACCTGTTGTTTTTGCTCTTGGATATAATAAAGATTTACAGCCATTGGTTCTAGAAGAAAATTATCAACATAACGACATTGTACAAGAAAACTTCATAGACAACTACCTAAATAATACTTATAAAACAATCATGGCCTTTAACTGGGTTGTTCAACATTGCAGCCATTTCAAGTATGTGTATTTTGATGATGATGACATGTTTTTACATATAGACAATTTGTTAAAATACGCCAAAATTCTTGAATTGGAAGAGCCCAAGTTTTTCTCGGGATCTTTGTCGGATAGAGGAAAGCCTGTGCGAGATCCCGACTCTAAATGGTACATATCGTGGGAGGAGTATCCTTTTGATTACTGGCCGCCATACGTCGGGGGGAGCTCAATGATCGCTCACATGGATATCATACAAGCCATGCAGAAAACCTTCCCCTATATACGTGCTCTAAGTTTTGATGACGTTTATTTGGGCATTGTTTTAAACAAACTCGCAATATCACCTCATAATAATACTCACTTTGACAATACTTATTTAAGGAACTTTGAAAGGTTACCTGAATTGATTGCCAATCATGGCTTTGATGATCCAGTTTTATACACGAAGACATTCCAAATGATTTTTCCAGATGAAAACCAAAATATTATAAACTAAAATTAAGATCACTCATGATTTCCAGAAATCAAGGTGACTCATATGAAAATGAATCTATCTCGCAAAATATGGTTTTTGATTCTTTTTCAGCGTCGCATTAACTAATTATAGAAAATTATATGTGACATAAAAGAAGATACGACAGTGACCACTGGGATTGGCGTTCCTTAAATTCTTACTAAAACATGGTTGATGTTTACGAAAAAGATTTCTTTTGTGAATATTGAGCTCAAAACAAGTTCTCGATTCTATTAATCATTCTGAGGTAATGAAATTATCCTTTTCATGTTGATGAGAATCATCATAAATCCACATGATAAGAACTGTTTGTGAACAAAGAAGGAACATTAATGAACGGCGATGGATTCAAGGAAAATTGATCCACATGACCTGAACATTACAAAAAGGTTTACATTTCATGTGTTCATAATTATCACAATGCCAGTACATCAATGTATGTGTTTTGTTGATGCTAAGATATTATAAACCAATGTGCATAATAACGGCAATTGCCATAATAGACATTATGTTATTATTGTAAGATAAGCACTGAAGTTTTCAGAAATCTGCGATGGGTCAATCAGTTGAGCCACTTGACCAGTTTTTTTGAAAATGGAAGTTGTAGTGTAGTACCACAGGCATTCCACATCTTGTTTTTTCCTAGCCCGAACTTCGCCCACTTTATCTAGAACATATCACTTCATGTATTAATTTAGGGCTATTTCGGGTTAAGAAAAAATATGATGTCAATGCTTATGATATACAAGTATCTATTCATGCAGGTGACTAGTTTTGAGATTCTTAAGATTGTTTTGCATATGTAATAGTGCTTTTGATTTGTATTGAGATTTTAGGTGAGATCCGAAACTATGCAATTCATTGGATGTCTCATTACACGACATTCCGTCCACAGTACGTCATGTTTTAATATTTATTGTTTGCATATTAATTTGATGTGTGATATTTTGTATGTCTTTGTTAAGAACTGTAGCCAACTGTAAAGTAAAACTTAAAGTAATCAATTGTATTGTCACAGATTGAATTGTTTCAGCGTGTATCACCTGTGTCCAATTAAGCCATATCCCCTTTTAAATTATTTTTTGTGCATGTTTATTCCAACTTTGAATGCAGGCGACATGTATCTTGAAATCAGATGTCACCTACGAATGAGTTCACGTGCAGAAATACAAAAATGTAGAACAATAATTATTTTGCTTAAATTTTTTTTTCTCAAAATCGATCAGTAAAGTGGAAACAGAGTGTGTTTATAGTTTTTATTTCACAGATGCTTTTCAAATGTTTTGTTATTCGCGGCCATCCTAACGACTACAGTCAATGAGCAGGAGATGAACTGAATGTTTTAAAGTCAGGATACTGGGTCATGAGTTTTAACTTTAATACGGTGGATGTGACTGGTCGGCAGGGGATGCTCACTCCTCCATGGCACCTGATCCCACCTCTTATATTTCGTAGGTCCGTGTTTGCTCTGCTCCTATTTTGTATTGTTTTATGGACGTTTGATTTTGAATACTGTTTGCTATCTCGATATATTTCATCTGTCTTCCAAAATTGGGAAATTCATGTCTGTGTTGGTGGTGGTGTCTGGTGATAGGATGGGACGCCGTTGATTATATAGTGAAAATGCATTAGTTCTTTGAAAATCTTCGTCGTTGCCTAGGGTGTAAGACAAATAAATGAAGTGCATGGAATGCATTGCTATGGTAAGCAAGGTGTGCTTGTGAAACACTGATGCCCCCGTATGACAATGTTTGACGTTTCTCAAATGCATGCCAAACTCCAAAGGTGAAGGTCAAAAGTGTTGATATGCAAAGAAAGGTCTTGTCACAAAAAAAAACGCTAGTCAAATATGAAAGCCATAGTGCTAACTGTTTAAAAGTTGTGGCGAAGGTCAAGTTCAAATGGTCGAAAATACTTGTATCCATTGAAAGGTCTTGTCACAATGAATACACTTGTGAAGTATGAAAGCCATGGCCCCACCCACTCAAAAGATATAGGCAATGTTACAGATTCTGTGGACAAACCGATAAACGGGCGGAGAGGGCAAAAACTATAATGTATAAAGGGTTATTTTCGCCCCGCTTTATTTTCACCCTTTTACACTTGCAAAAAAATTTGCCTCTCTTAAATTCGCTCAGTCACAGTTCTGTTTAAGAAATTTTACTGTATTCTTTAAATTCGTCCAACTGAGGGTATGGCGAAAGGGGCGAAAATTTCCCAGTATACAGTATATCTCCCGAAACTTTACGATCGATTACGGTGGCATGTGAAATATGACCCAATGAAAGGTTAATTAGTTATTATTACCGAAAAAAATAATGTCATTGTTTATTTTACTGAAAATGTGACCGACTAAATATAAAAGATTTGTTTGACATCATCAGATAAAGAAAGAATTATTCGTCAAAAGTTATTTCATGTAGAAATAGATCAAAGAAAAGAAATTTGATACAATGAAACCTGGCTTCTGTTTGCAAGTATAGACATGATAGATTTCCCTTTCAATTATTGGTGTATCGAAGTCATTTTCCACTAATGACTAGATATGGTCTCGATATGGTTGGCATAGAACCAAAGGCCGCTCAACAAGGTCAAACTTAACACGGTATTGGGTAGTATGCTATTTCAAATTCATTTTCTCTAATTAGGGTGACAAATGGCAGAAATGTCGTACTAAAATTACTCGTATACGCACAAAGACAACCCAAGCAATTAAGGTCAGACGATACGTTCCCCAAATATTTGTTTTGTAGATCTTCTTTATGTTTGGAAAATATACAAAATCTAAATTACATTCTGATTTCTAAACATGTTTCTAATTGTTTTTAAAAATTTGAAACACTAAAAATGTGATTTTGACAAACTAAGTTTTTTTTTTTACTAAAGGATTATATAAGAAATGCCATCCTCTGGTATCTCGCACAAATGCCTGGTAAGGTACCTCAATTTTTTGTGAGTCAACATGTTAAAGAAGTAATTCTTCATTGACAAAATCTTTGGAAAAATTATATATTATTGAGGAACGTCTCGTCTGTCCTTAAACGTAAAAGCCCAGTTCGGTAAAGGCTATCCAAAATAAAACACAACTGATGTTTTTATTAAAAACTGCCGGGTGATATTGTGTGTCGTCACAACAAATAGTCATATTCAAATGACACACAATTTCAATTCTTTGCATTCGAAATTGCTCCTGACAGAAAAAAATTACAAATACCTTAAACTTTGAATGCGTTATTCACAAGACACTTGACAAAGTATCAGAAATACATGTATCATTTTCTCTCGAATTTCCCAATACAATGCAAATTTCATGCCCTGTTCACATGGAGAGTTTAATTCGAATTAAACGTAAGTTTACTGCGAATTAGCTTCGCTTAGCGTTCACACGGAGAATTTAATGCGAATTAGTTTACTTCGCATTAGTTTACTGCGCATTAAATTACTTCGCATTAGCTCCGTGTGAACGCTTTTGAAGCTAATTCGAATTAAATTTTGGGGCATGCGTAATGGCAAAATTAAGTCAAATGCATCATGGTCAACTTTAAGTACTTGTGCTATTTTTGAGTCAAAAACTTAGAAAAAATGTTTTAATCACTAAAATATGTTCCAGACACTGTGACATTATGTCAAATGCATCTGCTTCTGCATAAGGTGACGTGATTTGCAAATGACGTCATAATAGCCTTCCTCACGCCTGACTGTCGGAGTAAAATTTTAATTCGCATTAGTTTACTTCGCATTAGCTGTCGTGTGAACGCAATTTAATTCGCATTAGTTTGATTCGCATTAGTTTACTTCGCATTAATTTACTGCGAATTAAACTTGTCGTGTGAACAGGGCATCACTTTACTAAAATGATGATTCTCTACCGTTTTCCTATGGTTTCCTTCTATTTTTTTTTTAAATCACAAGCTTTTTTTTTTGTTGAACGTTTTGAATTAATATAACTTTTCAACCGAAACCTATAATTTATAATTAAAAATGCACATAAATCTAATTCATAATTAAAATGCACAATGTTCATTTCATCGTACATATACATGTGCCTTGTGGGTCAAAATAGACAAAGGAGTCTTTATATGGATTTTTAAACGGAAAAATATATAGTCATTATTCCAGGAAGAATTATTATTTCTCTTACTTGGGACCACAGGCACTGTTTTCGGAAATAAATTTTTAACCCATACGTATAATAATACTATGGGTTAAAAATTTATTTCCGAAACAAGTGCCTGTGCTTGGGACAAGGCCTCTGGTTCCCGCGGGGGCCTTGCACAATCGAAAGGCCCCGGGAATCAGACCAAGTCCTCTTATAGCTCTATCTCCGACCACATCCTGCATGGTTTTGCATTGTGACATTAGATTTGCACAGTATCTCTTTTAGAGACTACATGCGGAACATAAGTGATCATTTCCGCGATCATATTTTATGCCCCCGTCATCGAAAATTCGGGGATATATATATATTTGTTTGCCCCATCCGTCCGTCTTTCTGTCTGTTTGTCTTTCACCTTGCCCATAACTTTTGAAAGGATTGGACTATGGTTTTCATATTTCACCGGTAACTACTAGTATATTCTTTGTGGTAAGACCTTTCTAAAGGTTTAACCATATATGATCTCTTGACCTTGGAGGTTGACCAATGTACCACAAATTTCCAAACTTTAATCGTGGTCATAATATTTGAACAGCTGGTGCTTAGGGTTTGCCTACTTCCCTGTACTTCACGTTTGTATTCATTGTGACAAAACCTTTCATTGGGTTAAATATTTTTACCGTTTTTTTCCTAAGCGGTTGACTCTCTTTAACAAAAAAAAAACCAAACCATTCTTGGTCACAACTTTTAAACAGTAAGTTCCAGGGCTTTCATATTTTGAATTTTTATATTATATTTATTTTATATTCCTTGTGACAAGACCTTCCTTTGGATAACAACATTTTGACCTTTTGACCTTAAACTTCGAGTTTGACTTGTATTTGAGAGGCTTAAACCCTCGACATAAGCTACAATATGGGTAGCTGCAGATCTGTAGCGTTATGGTCTTATATATATTTGTCTTTGACCATAACGCTACAGATCCCTTAATCCAAAAAATGTGCAATTTACGGCGCAATATTTTTTGCGCACTTTTGGGGAGAATTTCTCCACTTTCCAGCATCGGTCAATTAACTACCTTTCACTCCCTAATTCTAGACACATTATTTAACTAATCTGTATATTTTATCCATCTCCCAACCCTTTATAGTCGTCTCTACAAGTGATAAACTCGCTTGATTAAAATTATTTTTTAGATTACTGAAAATTCATATCCAGCGAGTTTATTGCCTGTAGAGACAACTATAAATGGTTGGGAGGTGGATAAAATATACATATTGGCTACAGAATGTGTCTAGAATTAGGAAGTGAAAGGTAGTTAATTGACTGATGCTGGAATGTGGAAAAATTCTCCCCCAAAGTGCGCAAAAAATATTGCGCCGTAAATTGCATCTTTTTTGCATTACGGGATCTGTAGCGTTATGGTCAAAGACAAATATACAAAAACCATAACGCTACAAATCTGCATCTCTTGATATCTTTGTTAAAATATATATAGTAAGAATAGAAAAAACCTTTTAATATGACGAATAAAAAAGATTTTTACAAATTAGTCACTCTAGGGAGAAATATTATGATATAAAATATATTTTAAATATTCCGCAAATAAAAAGCAGCATCTACAGGTATATTGACTTGAATGTACTTAGTGCTCGATGTAACTTAGAGTTTGTCACGTATATTCATGATCATGCATACTGATTGTGCCTTTCATGTTAGAAAATGGATACCGGATATTCTTGGGTTGTACTGACAGGTTGTAATTTTTATTAAAATCTTCTATTGACTTTACAAAGGATTTTTTTCATTGTATTTATTATTTCAAGTAAATTACGAGTAATTTTCAAAACTGTTCTCTGCATGCTTTCTGAAAATTTACTGAAATATGTATGAGGGTAGAAAAAATAGGCCACATTTTCAGGATCAAGAATGTGGTTTGTTACCAATTTTTCCTCAATTCTGAATGTGCCCACTACGGGTCTACTAATATGTGTTGTAGCATGCTGTTGTATAAATATGTTGGCGTTCGGCCTGCTGAAGTCCTATGGGATGTTGTTAGTGGAACTGTTGAAGGTCTATGATGGTGGTGCAGGGACCACCGCCATGGTGGGGTCAGTGACGTCACTGGTGATGAGCTTCATCGGTGAGGATATTAGTAATAATTGTACTTTTTTCTGAGCAATCATATTTTCAGTTCACATGCTACACAGTTCATATCCCCTGCTGTTAAATATATATAAGCACATTACTCTAGTGTATTCACCCGCTGTGGTGTCTTAAATTACCTACATCAGTATTCTTTATCATTTGTCAGGATCTGTCATTTTTTCCAATTTTCATCTTCATCACAGGCACTTACCCCGGTACTGATTTCTTCCATTTTAATAATAAAACAAAGATTCTGATTGACATATAAAGTTATTATTTGTAAGAAGAAAGAAGAAAAAACAGTCATGACAGATACCTGGCTGTGTTATGCAAGAGTTAGTGTATACTTTTAAGGCTTTGCCTTTTCAATGACCTTCCGTTAAGAGAGATAACTCCTGCAAGGAATAACAACGATTAAATATTCTCTTTAAAAAAATGTTCGCATTTCAATCATAAATATTCCGTTTTGAAATTCATTACATGTAAAATAAGGTAAAATTTATGTCAGAGAACAGTTACCTCTATGAAAATTCTTTGAGCAAAGTCCATCTCTGTTAAAATATTTATTTTGTACCGTATGCTGAAATTGTTCTAATTTCAGTCATTATAATTAGAGCAAATCATATATGAGAGAACAGAAAGGCTGTCAAACGAAATACACGGAGCTTCCTTATTCCAAGGAACGATTCTGTTCATTATATGAGTGACATGTGTCCCGGTATAATCAACTACTGAATACTTAAATTTTTATGCCCCCGAATCGAAAGATCCGGGGGTACATTGTTTTTCTCCTGTCTGTCTAGCTGTTTGTCTGTCTGTCTAGCTGTCTGTTTTTCTGCCTGTCTGTTTTCAACTTTAACCTTGCCCATAACTATTTAGTGGTTGGAGCTATGGCTTTCATATTTCACAGGTGTATTCCTTGTGACAAGACCTTTCTTTAGGTACCGCAAAATTTGAGCCCTTGACATTGACCTTGGAGTTTGACCTACTCTTACAAAAAAATACCACACTTTAACCATATACCCATAGAAAGGTCTTGTCACAAGGAATACACCTTTGAAATATGATAGCCATATAGCACCACCAATTCAATAGTTATGGGCAAGGTTAAAGTTGACAACAGACAGACAGGTCAAAAACAATATACCTCGGGATCTTTCGATCCCGGGGCATGAAAATATTAAATGCATATTTTCATAATAAAATTATAACATTTCATTCATCCAAAACCTACTTCCCTTTACTACAGGACTGTTTGGATGTACCTTGGGCGAAATGACAACGTTCCGAAAAGTGCTCCTCCTTGGTGGGATATTTCAGGCTTCTGGGTTATTCCTCAGCGTCTTCGTCGATAGATTACACGTCATGTTTTTGACCTACACAGTAATAACAGGTAGCCATGAAGTGCTTCAAGAAGGGTAACTCGTTAAGATCATTAGACAAAGATGTAAAATAGAGTTTCTTTTCTTGCTATCTGCAACCATTTACACGTTTTCGAATTTTTTTGTTAACAGAAGGATCCTTATATTTTTCCTCAATAAAAAAGTATAAAGAGTAGATATGAACATTCTCGGGGTGAACATGGTAAATCATCGACCAAATAGGACTGGAGATCTGTGATTCAGAACCTTTTTCTCTTTCTTTGTGTGTCACAATAGATCTTTACGAGCAATCAACCCGTCTCAAAACTAGAACGTTATGTTAATGGGGGTTTATTTTTCAATCGAAAAGGAAATGTCATTGTTCTGTACATTCCATCATTCTTGATGGATAAAAAATACGTAACGTTTAATTATGTCGCAAAGTATCAAAATTAAAAAAAATTAAGGAAGCTCTAAATACTGACAAAAAGTGCTTTTAGAATTTGGAGAAAATAATATCATGTTAAGGTGTACATATCAAGACAGTTACTTCATTTTCAACATATGGACAATGGACTATGCGTGAACAGAAACACTGTTGTTTACTTACATTGGGAAATAAATGGAAATAATGAATTCAATTACTTATTCTTGGTCTAATATAATGCTATGCATTTTTTTCGTCTTTTATAAATTGTGAAATTAATTGTAAATAACAATTTTTTTTCTATTTCACTTTTAAAGGCAGATTACACTAATAGCCTAAAACTATCCAACAATTAGAACTCTTTAGTGTACAGTGTTTAAAGCTTCCTTAAAGTAATAAAATTAAACAAGAAGCCCATGGGCCACATCACTCACATGAGTAACTTTGATCATGCTGTTCTTTCCCAGATTTCCCCCTTGTATTACCTATTGTGGTCCGGCCCTACTCCCTGGAGTCCTGATTTTAATTTTTTAGAATCTACACTACTCTAGGATGCTTCCAGATGTTTCAGCTTTTCTTGAGAAGATTCTTGAAGAATTTTCCGATGTGTTTCAATGTAAAACTTGGATTCCCTATTGTGACCCCGTCCTACTCCCTGGGGTCATGATTTTAATTATTTAGAATGTACGCTACTCTAGGATGCTTCAACACAAGTTTCTGACCCAGTGCACGTGGTTCTTGGGGAGAAGATTTTTAATGACCTCATTCCTATTTTTGTCTTTTCTTGATTACCTCCCTTTGTAAGGGGACTTGTCTCTCCATTTTGAGAATTTCAACTTCCCCTCACCCAAAAATGTTTTGTACCAAGTTTGGTTATAATTGGCCAGGTGGTTCCCGAGAAGTCGAAAATGTTACATGTAAAAGGTTACAGATTGACGAACCGACAGCTAGACAGACGGACGGACAACGGTGATCAGAAAAGCTCACTAGAGCTTTCGGCTCAGGCGAGCTAAAAATAAAATTAGCATTATGTTCCTTTACTTTTAGGGATAGGATATGGACTTTTGATTTCACCATGCGCCACAGTCCTGAACTTCTATTTCGAGAAGCGCCGTGCCTTAGCAAGTGGTCTTCTAAACTCTGCGAGTGGTGTGGGAATGTTTATATTTCAATACCTTTATGGAAGTCTTTTCGATGAATATGGACTGAAAGGTTGCTTACTAATCATAAGCGGGATTGTCTTAAATAACTGTGTCGCTGGATCGTTGATAAGGCAGCCCCAGCAGCTGAAGGAGCCCAATGTCTCCCTCATCAAGACACCTGATCTCAATCCTATAAACGCTTGTGTGATATTTTTCAGAAAAGTCTTCAAATCTCGTTTTAAATTGTTCCGAAATCTCCCGTTTGCTCTTGAATGTGCATCACTGGCCTTAGCACAGATCGGTTATGCTTCTCATTTCTTTTTGTATCCAGCATTTGTAAAAGGTAGAGGTTTTGACGACACTTCCGTTGTCATCGCCATGGTCATACTGAGTTCATTAGAAGTTGTATGCAAAATAATTTTAGGTGCACTAGCAGACCATATATCGCCGACGGTCCTACACAGTATCGTCATGCTTGTCGGCGGAGTAGCAGCAGTTGTTGTAACTTTCACCGAAAAGCTTTGGCTTCTTTATGCGTACGCCGCCATTACTGGCGCACTTCCGGGAACTTTTTTTGTTTTCATGCCTCCCATTCTTGTCAGAAGCTGTGGTCTGAAGAATCTGGGAGCATCATTAAGTACGGTCATAGTCACAGGGGCGCTCTTATTGGCGATAAGTGTACCTGGTCTTGGTGAGCATACTGTATTTCGGGATTTTACACTTTTTCAGACATATAATATAGGGTTATTGAACTTATATTGGTGAATATTGGCACGAGTTGGCTGTTCAAATGCACGAGCTTGCGAGTGCATTTGAACAGCCAACGAGAACCAATATTCCCAAATATAAATTCAATAACTCCTCTTTTATATTGGTAAAACAGTTTCACATAATTTATGATAATTACTCCAACTTAAAAAACTCAAATTAGTCTCGGTATTCAAATTAACGTCTGTCCTGTAAGCGTTCAATATCGCATCATTCCGATGACCCTACAGAGCAATATGATTTGCTTATTTAGGTTTTAATGGGTCTAATACGCACTAAATTTTTAATAAATAATTTCATTTTGTGTGAAAAATAAACACATCTTACCTAAATGCCACTTCATTTCGTTAATTTAGCTCTGAGAATTTGACCAGACGACTTTTTTTGTTTACAACGGGGCGTTCGATATTGAACGCTCGTATTCGGAATGTTTCGGGCATACTCATATACGTAATACATAGTCAGCGTTCAATAAAACGTCAAGATATTAAACGCTAAAATTCTCTAGATTTTTGGTTGTATTTTATTAGAGACTATTCATTAGCTATATAATAAAAGTTTTAATTTCACTAACTTGAAGCGTTATAAACCTTTTCTGAATTCTTCTTTTGAAGCACCTCAATTAAAAAAAAATCTATTGAAAATTATCAGTTGAAGTTTATGTTAGAAAAAAGCTATATATTTCATGAAATTTTTTTAGGAGAAAGAGATGCTGATTCTAAATGTACACCATCTTCGCTAGCCAAGGGTTTCTGATATGCTATTCTCCTCATAAACCCTTTGCATACGGTGAAGTCAAAAGACGGGATTGTTTTCGTCACGTGATCTCGAATCTATCAGGTACGCGCAGATTGCGTCATCGACAGAAAAAGAGACGCGTGTTAAAAGAAAATTAAATCAAAGTTTTTTTTCAAGAATAATTTAGAAGCAATAATTGAGTTATGTTTATTTATTTTTATAGTACAAATCTATAGCTTCAATATAGATTCTTAATCACATATTTAGAAGATATTGGATGACACCATTGTTTACTTGCGTTTTTCATTTCCGAGATTAAAGAGTCAAGAAGTATCCCGAACGCAAATATCGTCATGCATTTACAAAAAACAATTGCTGATTGGTCGACTGGGTGTACCGAATCCCAATCAGAACTCGACAAAAAAAAACCCAACTTCTATCAACACCGCCAAGGGATTATGAGGAGAGTAGCGTAACAGAAACCCTTGACTAGCGAAGATGATATGTACACATGTAAATATAAGAATTGAAAATACTGAGAACACATTTGCTTTTCTAGATTTAAAAAAAAAATGCTTGTCCCTTTGTACCTGTAACCGCTGAAATTTTCGATTTTTTTCAGGATTAATGGCAGACATAACCGGAAACTGGAATCTCTCTTTCCGAGTCATTGGTGCGATACTTTTTACTTCCGGTTTACTGATGGTGGTTGATGAAGTAAAAAGAAGCAATGAAGTAAATGATAAAATGCAAAGAGATCTAATATAAAATCAGATAGAGTACTAATGACTTTAATAATATATTAGATGCTGTCATAAAACATGAAATGGTGATTTTAGCAATGTATATATATACATGAAGTGTATATTGCCTAAAACAAGAGTTTTTTTTTTCTTTTAGAAAATTGCCGAATTATAAAATGTTGACGGTGAGATCGTTAGACCGAGCGCAGATACTTTTTCAGTTTTAATTTAGATCGGGCTCGTCAAGCCGCACGTTACTGCGTCAAGACTCTGGCGTATCATGACGTACTATGTACATTGCATTATCAAACCGAAGCCTGGACAGGGCTGATTTTAATGAAGAACCGTTTCATTGAATATTTATCTGCAATATATTCATTAAATCAAGGCAAATTTATTATTTGTTTAACTTTTGATGTTATTCTCGCGAGAACGTTACTTTACGAAGTGGGTCCAAAGTTACTGCGGAATTTTAAAATTCTGTCAAATGAATGTGCAGTGGCGTGATTTTCTCTTCTCCCAGGCGTTGTCGTTAGAGCTCGCAGTGAAGAGCGAGCGCTTTTAACTATCAAATCAAATGATATGAATTAATTCCGTAGATGTGTTTTCCGACAATCGTGTAAACAATACTACTTGAAGTACATGCAAAGGATTTGATGCTGTAAACGCTTCAACCCATAACAGTAACCCATATATCCATATTCTACGGTGTGGAGAAGGTAGAGACCAGTAGTAAAAGTCACCTGTTGATAAGTTGAGCTTTACATTACATATATCATTACCCCTATTTTCAACACTGGTTCCATATCCTCTTGGTCTTCAGGAATCCGCTTCCTTTTTGCCTGATTCAAGGAAGAATAAACTTTCAAACTAACATCAAAATAGATTGTTTGGCATTGAACTGTGTTAATAGACCTCTGTCCTTTCTCCTGAAATTCCTGTTGGGAATCTCATCACCTTACAATACAGCACTGTGTCATCTGTTTGCATGTAGATGGTAACAAGGCAACAATTTTCTTTCTAAAATAAAGGTAAATGTGGAGATAACGAACGGTAATCAAGCTGAAAGCCTATTAAAACAATGCAAATCGGAATCAGAGTACATCTCCAAACACATAAGAGGTGGGATCAGGTGCCATGGAGAAGTGAGGATCCCCTGCCGACCGGTCGCATATACGCCATGTGTACCTTGTCATGATTAGGAAAAAAGTAAAATCCATAGCAAATTCAGTGTGTAAATAATGGCTTAACTACGGAAGCGTATTAGGGCCGCAGCAGTATCTTTTATTCATTTGTTAAAACAAATTAATAATTTGTTATAACAAGTTAATAATTTGATATAACAAATTAGTAATTTGTTATTATATAAATATTGCATGTAGTTGAGTGTAACATTGAAAATTTTCACCCAAAGAAAACCATTGTCAACCGAGGCGCAGCCGAGGTGGACAGTGGTTTTCAAGGAGTGAAAATTTTCAATGTTACACTCAACTTCATGCAATATTTATTATATTATACTGAATGTTTTATACAAAAACATATAACAAATTATTAATTTGTTTTAACAGATTACTAATTTGTTATAACAAATTATCAATTTGTGAAAACAGACTAGTAACTTGTTTAAACAAATTCATAATTTGTTAAAACAAATTAAAAAAAAAAAAAAGATACTGCTGCGGCCCTAATACGCTTCCGTACTTGATAATTAATTTGAAAATAAAATAAAAAAGAATACCAGTCAGCATTTGTGTAAGCAGAATGTTTTACAGTATATTTAAGAGTAGCAGTTATGCCCTGTTCACACGGAGAGTTTAATTCGAATTAAACGTAAAGTTACTGCGAATTAGCTTCGCTTAGCGTTCACACGGAGAATTTAATGCGAATTAGTTTAATTCGAATTAATTTACTGCGCATTAAATTACTTCGCATTAGCTCCGTGTGAACGCTAAGCGAAGCTAATTCGAATTAAATTTTGAGGCATGCGTAATGGCAAAATTAGGTCAAATGCCACACGTCCGTGGTCAGTTTGAAGTATTTGTGCTATTTATGAGTAAAAAAACTAAGGAAAATTGTGTTAAACACTAAAATGTGTGTGCAGACACTGTAACATTATGTCAAATGCATCTGCCCCTGCATAAGGTGACGTGATTTGCAAATGACGTCACAATAGCTTTACTGACGCCTGACTGTCGAAGTAAAATTTTAATTCGCATTAGTTTACTTCGCATTAGCTGTCGTGTGAACGCAATTTAATTCGCATTATTTTGATTCGCATTAGTTTACTTCGCATTAATTTACTTCGAATTAAACTCGTCGTGTGAACAGGGCATTATATTGAAAAGCAGCTGCCATTAATGTCAAAAAGCCTCCGTGTAAGCTTTGAATTAAAATTAGCGCTGATTTTAAAACAAGCAACATTATAAGTTCGTACCTGCAAACTATCAGTTCACAAATTTAACTGTGTTTTGATTTTTACATCAAATTAGGGGCTAGATTCGGTCAATACCATACCTTGTCCTTTGTGAATTTAAATTTTCTAAAAGTTCCTTTGGCATTAAGTATTCACATCTAATTTACATTACTTCTGTACTGTTGAACAGCATTCTTGAAGTTAAATAAATAATGTGACTCCATCGATCAGCGTTCAATAAAACGTCAAGATATTAAACGCTAAAATTCTCTAGATTTTTGATTGTATTTTATTAGAGACTATTATTAGCTATATAATAATAATTATTATTCTGCACTAAATGTCTTAATCCGCAATCGAAGTAATACAAAGAAATACTAATTTGCATGTATCATATTTACTTGATAAGATTACGTGTAATTTACTTCATGATATTCAGTATACAGGCCGCTGGTCATTACAGTGATATAATAATATTTACATCCACTGAATAGTTTCTCTTTTATTTCTTAAGAAAACCCATTGCCATTAATCAGTGCATGAACAACACTAGGCATATCACCTGTATTGATTTCTTGATCAGTGGCTGTTCCATCAATGAAACGCACAAAGACGGACGTATCAATTAATCTTTTAATCCTTCTTTAAATGATTATTTAAACAGATATAAATATAAACAATAAAATGTCTTCATTTGGTTGTTAGTACGGGAATGAATGTCGCAGCTATTGCAGAAATAAATTACATAACCCGCTTACGCGGGTTATGTATTTTTTCTGCAACAGCTGCGACATTCATTTAAACAATAAAATGCTTTCTGTGTTTGTTATTACTGGAATTAACGGAAGCAGCTGTTGCAGAAAAAATACATACATAACCCGCGTAAGCGGGTTATGTAATTTTTTTTCTGCAATAGCTGCGACCGTTAATTCCGGTAATAAATTGTTTATATTTATATCCGTTTTAATTAATCATTTAAAGTAGGCTTAAAAAGATTAATTATTGTATTAATGATGCGAATGTTTTTATACGTTTCATTGATGAAACAGCCACTGATCAAGAAATCTGTACAGGCGACATGCCTAATGTAGTTCATGCAGTGATTAACGCAATGAGTTTTCTTTAGAAATAAAGGAGAAAATATTCAGTGGATGTAAATATTCCCGTACTAACAACCAAAGAAAGCATTTTATTGTTTGAATTAAGTTTGCGTAAACTGTGTCGCGTAGGGCGTTAAGTTGACTGAGAGTCAACAGGCTGAAGTGAATATTTACATATTAATAAAGCATGTAACCTATATTATTAGAGATAACCTACATACATAACCCGGAATATGTAGGGCAAAATCAGAGCCGTATAATCTTCCCTGGGTCAACATGTGAACTAGTATTTGGACGCTAATTATCTGGCAGATAACATGTAAAACTACATTGTTAAAAGTATATCTTTAAGTCTACTGTACAGACTTCTTGAATTGGTAATATTTTTTTGAACAATTAGCATAAGTTTTATACATTTTCTGATTTAGCCCATTTGAAATTTCATTTTAAACTAAAACTAAAGGTCAGAGGGCATTCTCGTAAGTATATCTAGGGAACATTTAATTGAAAATGTTTGGTACATGGTTAAGGTGGCTGGTCTTATTCTTAATAGACGCCCATTATGAATGTCCAATGCCAAGTAGATTGGAATGATGTATTTTAAATGTAAGATCAATTAAACTCCACCTTACAGCAACAAACCAGGTAAACAGCTTATAAAAATAGCAACACAGGCAATTAATTTAAAGGTGTAGAGGGAAATATATTATTGATATAAATAAACGTTCAGGCCTGGTTTTGGTTCACAGGTTTTGATGCCCCTCTCTCTCTCTCCATTTTGATTCATACCATATTTATTGAAAAGAAATCAGTGGTTACGGAAAAAATACTTCTTTTAATTTTGAAAAGAAGTCCATGGACTTGATATTGCATGACTAAAACGGATTAAAATACTTCTAGGTCAAAGAAGCGATTCAGATATTTAGGGAAAAAGTCAATAGTTCAATATTACATTTAATATATACATAAATCAATTTTGGATTTTTTTTTCGTAGTATGTTATAACTAGATATACATGTATATATATACAGGTTAAAGCCTAAGTGTTTTGAAAAATAGTTCGAAATGTTTATTGTAAAATCGCTTTGGTCATCCATCAGGACTTTGGTACACTCTGACTATGCATATCTTAGTTTTTCCCGCTGTCTCTGGTCTTCGATTGCATTTCTGTGGTCTCGCATACCGGACGGGAATATTTGCTAAATGAACCTCTATGAGCAGAGTATGTATGACGTCATGAGTTCATCGCTCGTGGAACCGGAAGGTCATGTTGTTCATGGGCGTGTACGTTATATTACAATCTTTCTGCAGTTCCTCGCCTGTGTATTCCAGTCGGTAATTTCTCAACAGCTGGAAAATAGTTTTCAAATATTTTAGGTCCTGTTTTGAACAGAAAACCTCTTCTCCCCTCCCCTTTTCTAGAAAAATTAATAATAATAGAAGATTTGTAATTAAAATGGATACCTTGATGAGAGCAATGTGGCTTTCCTGCTCAGCGAATCTTCTACCGATGCATGCCCGAGGACCAAACCCGAATGGAACCGAAGCAAAGGGGTGTGCATCAGTCTTGCTCTCACTAGATCTCAGCCATCTTTCTGGCAGAAACTGTTGAGCATCCTCAAAATGTTCATCTTGCATGCAAACCCAGTCGTGGTGCATTGCAATTTGTACCTGTTTATCAAAAATTACACCACGATAGTTTAATACTTTATTTAAAACGACACTATTTTGCTATAGTACATATAATATTATTGTTAGTTGGAAATTTAAAGAAGCGGCTTGATAATTCTAGTTCTTCTTACCCCAGCTGGAATTCTGTATCCAGATAGAACCATTTCTTTCGAGGAAGTTCGGATGTTCCCGGGAGCTACCGGTAAAAGCCTGTAAAGGGGACATTGTAGTGTTTTGAAACATTATACAAGGCAGTTAACCTAAATTCAAAAGGTCAAGATCGACATATTATCCTAAGCAATGTAAATTATTGCTTTTTTTACCTGTGCGTTTCCCGCGTCACAGCTTTCAGGTATGACATTTTTCCAATGTGTGAATCTGTTATTTCTTCGCTGTCACCAATCGTGATCTTGATTTCCTGGTATAACCTTTCCTGGATTTCTGGATGCCTCCCCAATAGATACATGACGAAGGACAAATGGTGACTCGTCTAAGGAACACAGAGCAAATCAAAATCAGATGAAGGAAATTTTGATAACATCAAACTTTTAAAATACTCGGGAAAAGTGCAAGAATCTTTTGCACAAATGCATGTTTTATGTTTACAAATTCTTGGCGTCAACTTTTGATGTGTTTATCTGACACTGGGAATTCTGCACTTACGGTATCCACCCCCGCAAAAATGAACTCGCAGATGACGGTCAGGACTTCCCTCTCAGACAAAGAGGTTTTGGACAGTAAATAGGGGATCAGGTCGCCATGTTCCCCGTCAAAGGAGGCGTCGTTCCCGATCTTAGACAAAGCCTCTCTGGAATATTTTACAGCAATCCTAAAAACAAAAGATTCTGAAAGTTTTAAATAATTTCATTCGCCTTGATATACTGGTATCTTCATCGTCATTTAAAAAAAAAGTAGGGTCATGGTACGAAAAAGTTAAGCATTCTTGTTAAGAAAGATAGCAAAAGTTCAATAAACTATCAGTGCAAAAAGGCTAAGCTTTACGTCGCGTTTGAGGTCAAGATACGAAGCAAACATGAAAAATTGTTTGTTTCGCCAACCATACTTTGATTTTTTTTTAAAAAAAATTAAAAATCAAATAGAAAACAAGCTTACTAGATTTTTAGTTTTAAAGTTCTATATTGGTTTCATTTTCAGTAAAATCACCAAAAAAATTTCAAAAAGGTCATAAATTTCATATTAATCGGTTGATCCATAGAAAGACATTTATTTTATACATATAATATTCATACTTACTCTCGAATGAAGCTCTGTGCTTCGATTAGCTTGTTGAATGATGGTGTCTTCCAGAGTCGATACCATGGTAACTGCTTAAATTCTTTTTGGCTAATGTCCATCACAACACTTACGGCTTGTATGAACTTCTGGGCATCGCTTTCTGGGGAAAGGTCTTTGAAAGCACCTAGACGCTTGTTAAAGCACACCACACCGACGCCTGAAACGAGAAGAAATTTTACATACAACATGTACATTAAACCCCTCAAAGGATATTGAGATGTTAATTCATATTTGCTTTTGGAATGGAATCTTATGTTTGCGTACATTCTGCCGCGTATTTGTCGAGTTCCGGTCGCAAATCCGTCAGTTCCTTTTCACGATTACGTAATGATATCACGTGATCCCAGAGTTCGTCTGCTACTATAGACTGTTCTGGAAGGTAAGAGGCCACCGCCTTAGGCCGGAGCATCTTTTGTTGGACTTTTTTCCTTATCCCACGCCAGTCATTCCCTTGACTAGACGTAAAAAGGAAAGAGATAAATTTATATATTTGTCAAAGAACAATAGAATTATAAACTGTGTTAAAAAATTCACATATATCACAAAAGCAATACCTGGTTAAAAGTCCTTGTACATTTCCGTTGTATTTTTTGTTATAATGTGCAAGCATGAAGAAAGCTTGGCGAATTGGATGTTTTGCATCGCTTCGGAACACCTCTTCAAAGTCTTTCGGATCATTTATGTGTACCATTTCAATTCCCGGGAGTACTGTTTCCCGGTAAATAGATCCATACTCCTCGGTGCATTCTTTATGCATATCCATGAACTGCTTCTTGTAAAAGCGTCCTATCAAAAGCGTAACAGGTATTTATTAATTCATAACCAAAAAAATAAATTTCTTCAAAATGAAAATGGAGACCCTACCCAAATAAATTCTGAACACGTAAATTTCCATGTGTAAAATTACCTCCAGGAAGGTAATTGCGAATTCCTCCAATCAGTGGGTAAGATTTGGGGCCCGGGAGCTCGTCGAATGGTTTTGGTCCTGTAGATTTGGTGTCCGAAGGGGCTGGGGACTCGAACAGAACCTCCAGAGGTAAGGCGGCATTTGAAGCCGTCATACTTTCTCTGGTCTGCTTCATCTGACGAATCAGTTTCAACTTCAGCAGACGACGTGAGTACGTTGTAGTCGCCATTATTTTTATAGCTATAGAAGAAAAACTAATTTTCAAAAGCGGTCTCTAATGATCAAAGTTGTCCACAACAAAAATCTGTATTTTACAAATTGGATTTTTAAATGGAATTTGCTTTCATATAGTTTAAATTCATATAGTTTAATTATTCTCTACTGAAAGTATTATTTCTTTCTTTCTTTATTTACATTTATTTATGTACATGTGTATTTATTGAATTAATTTGACAAAAACCACATGTGGCGCAAGTCATGCATACAATAAACAAATATATATTCGCACAAATGTTCTTATATCAAATGCGTCACGTATGAAGTTACAAATAATTCTTGTTGATTTAACATCTACTGAATTAATAATTTCATAAGATATACAGGTATTGTTTAAAAAGTGAACAAAATTCCATTTGTAGTTGTATAAAAAAAAAAAATGATGTTCATCTTTAACAAGACAATTAATACAATATCTTTCATATGCATCTCTTGGTATAATTGGATCACAATATTCGCCAAACTCTATCTTTATTTTAAAGAAATTCTTCGTGTTTGGGATTTGTAAGAAAAAAAAAACTTACTTTAAAGCAAAATATTTCTAAAGAAAATTTTACAATAAGACTGTTATGATTTACTCAGAAATTGCTAACTTTAAATTTGTGAATGGTTTGTTTCAGGAAACAAAAACCGACATTCAATACTGGGACCAAAGTTTTTACAGAGTTACCACGAGCAGCGCATTTGGTAAGTGAAATAAAAACTAATTCATAATATATCAATACTAAATGAATATGTATTACCTCTCAACAGTCAAAATCTATCTCATATAAATCCAGAAAAACAAACATAAAATTTATAATCTTCCAGAATATTCAATTTTACACAAGGAATGTCGTCTTCGAACTTCGATGACCACGTTCTGATCACCTTTAAATACCGATGTTATAAAACCTGGACAAGTCTAATTATAGCAATCCTTGGTAAATTTAAATGACGACATTAGGTCGGTAATACAGAGCAATATCTCTACACGTAACTGTGCAGCGACCACCGGAGACTGAATACAGGAGCCGAGAGTATGCAGCTCTTATACGTCTCAGTGACCCGGGAATCGAGTACACCCGTACTCAGACGATAAGCCCAATTATTTACAAGTTTAGCGCGGTAAAAATAACGCGAACTATCGTACTAGGTTTCTCAAATGCAGGCAGATTGTGTATTCTATAGTTTTTTTTTCTTCTGGTGAAGAAGTCAAATTCTTAGTGCCCATGCACTGACTCGGTGAACTAAATTGCCTAGATTTATCAAGATTTGAATTAATTATTTCCTTGTCACATTGTTTCACCCTTCTGATAAATCATTGTCTTAAGGGAAAACATTTCTAGGAAAACTGAATTCATTTATCAAAAGCTAAGTATTGTCAAAAATTCATACCAATCGCCAAAAATGTATATTTTCTTTAATTTATATCTTTAAAATGATAAATAGCGTATTAAAAGTAAATATGTAGGCTTTACACTTACCAATAAAACGCCACATTAATTAATAAAATGAATAATGTGTTTAATTTTTTGAATTTTTTCTATATACTCTACAGAATGTTAAAATATCGAATTTTTTCTTTCAAAGTTGGAATGTTGTTTACGTTTAAGAGGAATTCGTGGTTTTCAGATTACACAAATGAGCCCACATAGTGCAAAGATGAGCATGGTCTCAATACGACTTTAGCTCACCTGAACTGAAATCTAATTCTAAATTTGTAATCAATGTCTTCCTTTGTCAATCCTTGCGCGAAAAAATCCATTCTTGTGTTTATTTTTTCAAGTATAAATTATAAACAGCGATAAGCAGAATTCGTGAAAATTTTTATTAGAAATACCAAATACCTATCTCGTAAAAAAAAAAAATAAGTGTCGTGAAATACGTAGAAGGGTTATAAAGATAATTTAGACTAGATTTTCATTGAAATAACTACGAACTTGTTTTACGAAGATCTTTTAACGAAAAGAGTAAAGCTAGTCATAGTAATGGCCAAATATTCAGTTCCAGTTTCGACTTCGAGGGGCAAGGGTGGGAAAATAACTGGAATTTTATATGGGGAATATCCATGAAAAATAATCAAATTTTCTGTATGTCCACAGTTAGAAAAACAAGTTTTATTACTTATAATTCATTAATACTATGTAAGTATCCGAATGTAATGTAGATTTCATCTTGTTCAGATCAGTTCCGTGTGTTGTGGCCGAGGTAACAACACACGAAGTGGTCCTTTTTAAGAGAAAATCTCATGCCTCCGAGTTAGGAGAAAGTATAAGATTTACAAAGAACGAGACTAAAATATTAACTTCAACAGAAAGCCGCCATAGATTGTTAATCAGAAGTGAGCATTGCGGACCGCAGGCCTCTTAATAAGAACATCAGACAAGGGTTCACAAGAGCTGGGTAACGCTAAAGTGGGTAGTGACGCAGTATCCCCCGTAACATTGCACATAATTGGGAGGACTGCGTTTGGGGGGATTAAATATTACACGAATCCCTGGCTGATGATCAGACATTGTCATCGTGTATTGTGTCACTAATATACGTGGTCTCGATGAAGGAATCCAGAATTTAAACTCTTTTGGGGTATACAAAATTAACCTTTTTTCCACTGCTCGAAATATGGTGTGTGGTTTTAAATAAATGCAAAATTACATGCAGTTTTTTTTCACTTGCAAAAGGATGAGCATTTTGAACGCCTATTTTTAATGAGAGGTTATTTTTTTTCTCTGCAATGTACCTTTAATGATAAAAAGAAATTGCGGAAAAAATATCTCAAAACTTTATTGAGTAAAGGTTATTGAGTATCTTTCTTTTGCATGCACCGATGCATACATATTTTGTAAAACTCCAACTTAAATGTGCCAGAAATTGTAAAGAATAGAATTTGTTTGTTTTGTCAGCCCTCTAGATAAGATTTACTGTCTGTCCACATACAGGAAATATGTTTACACTTTTATACTTTTCTCTATCCAAAAAAAAAAAAAAAAAAAAGAATAAAATAAATAAATAAAAAATAAAATAGAAGAGAAAAAAGGGGGAAAATAACTCCTATTTATCGAAATTAATTATTAATTACTTAAAATTACACTTTACATGAGGTGGCCTTTTTAACCAATTCGAGTACACGTGTACTCACACAAGAGCCATATATCTTGATATGAAATAGTTAAGTATGGCACGTCCTTGAAAACACACCTTCAGTCAATAACTGGATCTCCCCGGCCTGCTTCTACATTGATATCAATTCTGTCACTTTATGCACTCAAATTTAGAAGAAAAAAAATAAATGCAAATTTATATCTTATCTATATAGTAGGTCTCTTTAGATTTATAAACATTTTAAAACAGTTATGATTTATTTGTTATAAAACTTCTGAATGATATATGATCTATATATTGTGGTGGTGCAGTTTAGTGGAATCCTTTTTTTTTCAAGAAAAATATATGGAACATGCATACATATATAAACGTATATATATATCGAATGAGAATCACCCTTAAAGAAACATTGTATGTATAAGTCGTTTCTGTCTGCTAGTTTCCCATTTTTTGCAATCAATGTGTAAAGAATAAATAACTTTTAGAATTAAAATATCTTACTTTTACGATATTAACGAATGAGAAATAAGATATTTTTACATATTTCTTTCCAAGTACTTTTGATTTTAAGAATATTATAAACAGCTTCAAATTTGAAATTTAATAACTTTGGACAAATTTTGATGCAGTTTCTATTTTCTTTCTTTTATCGATCATCGCTTCAGTTGACATTATAGATCATTTTTTGAAAGCTAGGTATATCCCAGGCCATTTCTGTGTCTCAATATACCTTTGTTGATTTAAATCGTAATTATGCACGTGTATGACTCCTGTTGATATTTTTCGGACCATGTACCGGGGTATATCGCCCTTACAAAAATCTGGGTCACGATAAATAAGAACTCAGAATCTCGGGTTCCCTGGTCTTGTATTTTCTAACAATTTAATAAAAATAAAAATAATGTTGGATCATACGCGATAGAATTTTAAAGGGATAATTGAAGAAATAAACATTAATTTGTGCATCCGATTTAGAATGTTCTCTGACGTTATTGAAGATATTTATCTTATCAATTGAATGATTTCCATGTCAAACTTTATATCGTGTAAACTCTAGATGTAAGTAAAGAAACGTGGTCTCTCTCTCTCTCTCTCTGTCTCTCTCTCTGGAACCGGGAATGTGGAAAATGCAGCGTGCATGTAGTAAATAAAATTTATCCAGTTAGAAAAGTGGTAGCAGTGTGTATACATGCGTAAATGTTATGTCTAAACGCCTGATAGCACATGTACTTTGTTCCTAAAGTACAAGGTTACTTTTAGGTCTAAGATTTTAAAGTTTAAAATTAATGTGAAAACACTTAAAAATATTCCCAGAGGTTAATTTCAAAATAACAAATTTTGAAATCTGTTTGAGTCTTATTGCGAAATGTTTTAAAGAACAATAAATAATTTTTTTTTAAATTTTGAAATGAATCTGATTTCCAAATACCCGTAATATAAATCTTCTGTATAAAGAAGAACAATAAAAAATGACAAAAATATTTGCCTTGCCTTTATATAAAGTATATAGATCTAATGCAATAAAAACGCAAATAATTGAGAAATCTGCCTACCATTTACAGGGTGCTTTGTATTACATGTATTTAGGTAAAGTCTTTCGAAATATGCCGCATTATGTTCAGAAATATCTCACCTTGAAGTATAGATCTGACCATGACATTACTCAGTGATAATAAGTCCAAAGTGACTGCAAAGTGTGCGAAGATTTCTAGATATATTTTTAAAAATATTATGCTAAATGCTTGAGTTCTTAGCGCGTAATGCTTTACTTTTGTGATGTAATGAAATTTTCATAAAGCACTATGCAACCTCATTGTTTGTACCAAAGGAGCTCATTAGGTAGTTAATTGTCTAGTGTAAACAATCAATACTAATATCATTTATGAAACTAGAAGTTATGAAACGTTTGCCACGTACCCCCGAGGAAAATTTGTATAATCGAAACGTTGTGTTATACTTTTTATCTGACATTTTTGTTGCCGCTGGTACATTCATCTGATATTTTTATATCACAAAATCTGTATATATATAAATACAGGAATCATAATTCGAGACTTGTTAGTATAATTTAGGAATCCTACTGCAAATTTGCCTTCCTTTAAAGGAAGAAATACTGTTACTTTTAAAAAATTGTCGTGAAGACCACAAATGCGATGAATTTACTAATATATGAGGAACTTTCGTATTCTAGTTGCAAATTTTATTCGATAGAATGGAATATGTCAGAATTAAGGACACTAAGTACACGTGTACTTAAACATTGTTGCTCTTCATGATCTGTTGATAGCAACGTGTACATAGTATTGAAATTCTGTCTACCTTGACAGTAAAATGTTTCATTAAATGAACAATTCAACCAAACCATTTCAAACAAATCTACTTGTCGCAACGCCTTACCAATCAATAAGCAGTCACACGGTTTATGTAAGGAATTAAACACCCCCGCAAGGATTTAAAAATAATTTAGCATTGGATTTATCCAAAGAGAATGAACTACTTTTAAAAATTCATTTTTCCGAGTCAGACAATTGTCTAGACTCTAGAAAGTGTCTAAACGCTCTTCGATTGACCATATGATATGCCCCCTCCCCCCAATGGCCTTTGTTTACGTAAGTTGGTCTGAAAATAATGTTGAATTAATAGTAATGTAAATACAAAATAATATTACTTACCATTATATCACACATCTTTTCTATGTAAAGGCCTGTTTACATTGGGACAATAATTGATTTACCGAGCCAAAGTACGCCTAGTACACGTGTACTCCGCCTGCAGTTAATAATTCTTCTCCTTTCCTTGTTTTATAGAACATGTAGAATAGGGAACTTAAATTCAGTCTCCCCATATGATATCTTTAAAGCATTTTTTGTCAATAAGAGATAATTATTCAACTATTTCCTGATAAAATAATTTTTCCATAGACATACTAGCCTTTATCGATCCTTCTACA